GAAAAATTTTAATAAAAATTTTTAACCCAAAATAGCATTATTAATAACAATACAGAGTGATTTTTTCCCCTTTTCTTTTCCCCGGGGGAAGCCGTTTAATAAAAATATTATTCATTATAAAAATATATATGCTACAAGATCTGAACATTGAAATATTGTGTATCAATAATCCTACTTTCTAGTATTACATTATATTCATGGGAACATGCTAAACCCACAGGAGTCTTGCAGTATTTAAGAAATGAGAGATAATCAAGTTTGATTTAATGAAGAGGAAGGTAGATACAATTCACGGGGTGAAGGGCCTTCCCCGCGTAAAGGGCCATCATCCTTCCCTTTTTAAAAGTTTAAAAACATGGTAATTTCACGTGCATGACCTGAACACCCAGACTTCTTCTTAGCTTTGGAAGTTCCAGTTCTTAGCGAGGCCCGGCCTCCCCCTCCAAACCCAAATGTCTGAGAAAAGAAAAGCGTTACAAGATGAGAGATGGTGCAAATTTAAAAAAAAATAAAAAAATAATAATAATAATAATTTAATAATAAAATAATAATAATAATTAAAAATTTCCTTCTCCGTGATTCTATTGTTAACTAGACCATTGTTGTTTTAAATTAATTTATTTCATTTACATTTCAAAACTTTTTTTGTGTACTTTAAGCCTTAAACAATCATGTATATTAATTTTTATTGCTTTTGAGGTTTAAATTAATTAGGTTTGGTTACCTGAAATGCTCTGCAAAAACCAGGGCTTTTTGCATGCAATAAAATGTCAACTAATTTTTAAAAACCATTGTATAAAAGTTAAATTTTTGAGTTTGGTGTTTGTTCGTTCTAAACCGGGGACAGTTTTAAAAATAGATAAAATAAGAAATATTGGGTTTGTGCGATGCATGCTAGTTGTTTTTTAATAGTTTATTATGCCCCCCTACCCATCCTGTGGGCGGTAGTCAAAAGATTACAGAGGACAAAAGGGGTCAGGACGGGCCTCAATTTTTATGGCTGAGCAAATTACAGGGTAAGAATTCACAATTTACAAAAGGGAATAACCCAGGTAGGTCTGTCAAATCAAGAAATTAAAAGGTTTAATAATTATAGAGGTACAAATGGGTCCGGGACTGGGGCCCCCAAAGTTTTGATGGGTGAACTAGGTACAAGGAATCTCACAAGTTACAAAGGTAAAGAATACTGTAAGAAAGGTTACTTACTTTATCATGGCACAACATGAACAAATTTTTAGAGTAATGAGCAATTCACACTTCCACACCCTCACAACGTGTGAGTTATTGGTGAAATATTGATTGTTAGTCACACACACACACACACACACACACAACACACACACACAACACACACACACACACACCAAAACACCACACACACACAACACAAACTCTACACACAACCACACGCACACTATACACATATACACGCACACACAAAAACACACACAAACCCCCACGCCAACACAAGGAGCTTTGGGGCTCGACCCCCGCAACTCAAAAGGTGAGTGCAACCAAACACACACACACACACCACACACACAACCACACACACACACAACACCACACACACACACCAAAACACACAAAAACACAAAAAACACAAACACACAACACACACACACACAACCACCACACACACACAACACACACACACAACCCCAAAACACACACACACCACAATGCCATTTGTGGTAATCTTTATTTTTCAGCTAGCAAAGCAGGGGGATTTTTCCCAAAAAGGGCTGTAATATACCACGTGGATAAAAAACTTACCATTTCTTGAACACTTTTGATGATTGTTTTTTTAAATTTATTAATTTTTTCGCACTCCAGTACATAAGACGCAGGGTGTGACAAATCCATCTGGGAAAATTTACATTTCGTTTTGGTCTACACTGGGGGTTGGGTGATTTAACCTCCAAAGAACTTGTAACCCCGCCGGAGCCGGGGGATAGTGACATCCAAGGTCTGCTTATTTTTTTTGATCCCATAACATGTGGCTCCTCCCGCAATAAAATGATGAAATTTGGACTCATGGGTAAATCTCCCTGGCCTTAAG